AACGACCAGAACAGAGCAGTACTCCTTAGTTGGATTGCTGCGCCACACTGGAGATGGCCACAAGAGTGGCAATTTTTACGCCATCTTTGTGTACCGAGGCCTTTTCTGGCTGGCGGATGATGGGGCCTATCCACGGGCTCTACCTCATCTACAAGACAATATCAAACAGCAAATAGTTCAGGTCTGGGCCATTCCTTCGAAGCAGCTCCTGCCTGACAACATCAAGTGTGACTTTCCTATGACCCATAAGGACATTGTCAACCAGGAGCCAGAAGCCAAACGGCGCTGCCAAGAGGGCATCGACTTCGCCTTTGCCAATGTGACCAACATGGGCCAGGAAGTTAGGCAATGGTTGGGAGGAAGGCCCAGAACGCCCATCATAGTGGCAGAAACACATCTTGGAGAAGCAGATCACCTCAAGACAGTACAATGGCTCAGCTCGAGAGGGCTGGCAGCCATGGGCCAACCAGCGGCAGAAAGTCCCAAAGGAGGAACAAATGGTGGCATCATGCTGGTCTTTCCACCACACCTGCATTTCCACTATATACAGCACCAGATGATCGAAGGTTGTGGTTGGTATGCTGTCATGTGGAGCTTTCACAATGTGAACATAGTTTTGGTGGGGGCGTACTTCAAGTGTGGAGAAGGAGTTCAAGGAAAAACCAACTCGGTTTTGTGGGCCGGACTCATCAGCTTTGTCACCAGTGTGAACCATGCATGCATCATTGTTGGGGATTTCAATGTCACGCCGGGGGAGTTCATGGCCACTTCAATGAGCACGGTCATGCAAGTGCAGCTCCTAGCTGTTGGTGAGGAGACATGCAACACGGGAAATGAGCTGGACTGGGCGCTGGCAACAAATCAAATCAGCGCGGACCTGACCATCCAGGCCAATTGGGAAGTCCCTTTTCGACCTCATGCTCAATTGCTGCTTCATCTTGGCTGGACAATGGAACCCATTTCAGTCAATCAGCTCACGAGGTTCAATCCAGCCCCCAAGCTGGAAGAAGTCAAAACAGAGTGGAGCCAAATTGAGCCCATAGAGCGCGCAGTACAATGGCTGGATTATGAAGACAGCCAAATCAGCAGACAATCAGGCATCATCTACAGCCGCATCGAGCGCTACGTCCTGCAGAACCTGGATAAGCCCACGGAAGGACGAGGCACCAAGCTGAAATTTCAGCTCAAGCCTTTGACTGATCCATCGAAGGCATGGCTGTGGAAGAAAGGAAGTATGGCTTTCTGGAACCAGATTGAAGTGAGACTACAACAAATCCAGCACAGACCAGGGCATCTCCTGGGAGATCAACCTCATCTGGCCAAACTTGGATGGCACATCGACCAACACTGGCATTGGGATGACAACATCACCCTGCAGAACTACAAGATGCTCTTTGGCATGGTGTGGAATCAACCTGATCCTGAGCACCTACAAACGCTGTTGCAACACACCAAAGCTCAACGGGAAATGCATCAGTCCGCCAGTTTTGCAGCAGAAACTGAGCAGTATAGAGAATGGCTGGCAAAGGCGTCCCTCAAAGGTCACCGTGGCCCTTTCAGGTGTCTCAAGAAAGATGAACAGCCTTTTCTTAGGCCTTTCCAACAGCTGCCCAGAAAAGAGCGCATGGAGAAGCGAGTCCAACAATGCGGCGAAATTTGGGGCATCAGAGGAAGTGAGCACAAAGTCACGACCCTAGAAGCCATGATCGAGAAGGCCAAGGACCATGCGGCAAACATGCACCCTCTCACTGAGAAGCAGATGTGGCACACTATCAAGCAGCTCTCAAACAAGGCACCAGGATTGGACGGAGTTGGGTTCGACTTCTTGAAGACACTCCATTCACAGCCATGAGAGATCTGGTAACCATGTATCACCAGATTGAAGCGGATGGCATTGTACCCAACCAATGGTTGGTAGCCCTCATAGCTATGCTCCCAAAGACGGCGGAGATCGAGAGGCCAATCGCCTTGGTGGCCACCATGTACAGACTATGGTGCCGATTGAGAAATGACTACACCAAAGAGTGGCAAGGTCAGCTGGAGGAAGAATAGCCATGGGAGAGAGCAGTCCCTGGGACTGAGTGTTTGCAAGTAGCGCTTCGTCGAGCCTTCGTCACGGAACACAACCAAGCGCTGAAAAAAACGGTCATCTCCGTGCTCCTCGACATGTCCAATTTCTATGACAGGATCAACCTCCAGAAGCTGGCAGAGAGATGGATCAGCTCCAACTATCCGGCCACACATGCAGCCTTTGCCATGCAGATTTACCTTGGCACCAGAATCCTGGAAGCAGAGGGAGAAGCTTCACAACCTATGTGGACTGAGAATGGCATCTTGGCTGGGGACCCACAAGCACCTCTGGCAGCCAAGATATACCTGCAACGGGCATTAAAAGCCTTCTGCAAAAGATTTCCTTTCCTTCACGTAGACCTCTTGAGCTTCGATGTTGTGGACAGGGATGTGGAAAATGCAGTACGGATCGCCATCCAGGCCTACAACTACATCAAGGAGCTTCTGGAGGAGGACAACCTAAAGTTGTCTGTCAAGAAGACAGGCTTCATCACCTCGAATGTGCAGGCCAAGCGGCTCTTACAAAGGCAACTCCCGAGCAATGGCCCGAGAGTTCACGATGTGATGAAGGACTTGGGAGTAGACTGCACAGCGGGGCGCCTCCGGCGCATTCAAACTATGAAGGGGAGAAGAAGCAAAGCCCACAAGAAGACCAGGAAGTTGCACACCCTCAAAATACCCCTTCGGGCTGTCCGCCTCAAGCTGTACAAGGGATCAATACAAGCGGGGATCAGTTGGGGACACCAGGCGCTTGGACTGGCACCACAACATCGACAGCGCATCCGCATCACGATGGCTCGACAGATGGGCTTGCAAAGAACAGGAAATGCGGACATTGTCTACGATATGCAGCCACGACACAAGGATCCTGACTTTGAAGCCTTTGCTAGTCAGATCAAGATCTACAGACAATGCTTTGGTAATTGGCCTGAACACCTACATCGAGACCTCGACAAGGCCTGGCATGTCACCAAGGACCGGCTCAGGCAGGCCAAACATCCTTGGCAGGTGGTCAAAGGACGGGTAGCAGCCCTTCTCTGCTACCTGCATGATAGAGGATGGGACACCACACACTACGACCGGTGGACAAAGCAGGGAGCAAATGGAGAAGAAGATTTCGAGATCAACATGCACTCATCCTGGTTCTACATGAGGGAGGAGCTAAACCGTGCACAGGTGAGAGAACGCATCACCCGTCTCCAGCAGAGAACGATGCTGCAAGACACCCAGCAACCTTTGGACTGGCTTCCGTGGAAGAGATTGGCCAGTCAGGCCAACCCACGCACAAAGACAGCCCTTCAGACATGGCACCAAGGGGCGATCTTCACCAAGGTGGCGGATGGCAGTGAGCAGAGCCATATGACCTGCCCTCACTGCAACCAACCTGCCACAGCCATTCACGTGCTCTGGCTATGCAAGCAGACGAACAAAAATTGCAGCCCACTAGATCCAGAGGATCAGAAAGAGCTTGAGCAAGGCATCAACCTGGAGTTTTGGGCACAAGGACTCCTGCAGGTCCCACAAGTCAAGCTGTCCACAGGCGGTGCTGCCATCCAGGCATGGGGATCCATGACGGAGCTCGACGCCATTCAGCTCACGGGTCATCAAACGATGACAATTGGCATCGCCACGACAAGTGGAGACTCAAGAGTGAGACCATCGTGCACCACACAATCTTTGCAGGTGAAATGTTTCGGATGGGGGCCATCTCAACAGTATTGCCAGGAAGGCAGTCGCAATCACGTGCTTGGTACTATGGGATGAGGATGATAGCTCACTATGTCGACTTGACGGTCCCCACCAGAGTCCATGTGATGTCCATCAAGGCCTGGGAAGCTTGGGCGATGGGACGACACCAAGAGCACTTTTTCGATCTTGCCTCTCTGGCGACATGGGATCAAAGACAGAGGGTGAGGGCCTTGAGCATCACCAAAGCTCAGCTCCAGGTGATGCCCACCACTAGCCTTTCTTTGCGCACCAGGTATAAGGACGCCAACAAGGCAGCCCAGGAGGTGGCCATCTCAAGAAGACCTCTAGACCAAGAGAGGGAACTTCGTGAACAGGACAGGAAGTACAACCGAATCGCACCGATGGCTGCACAGCGCATCAAGTACCTCCTTGACACGCCTGACCACTACATCGATGAGGAGAAGGCCACAGGCAAGGAAAACAGACAAAAAACCAGGGACATGAAGAAAGCCCTGTTCTTGGAGATCAGTGTCACGGGCTTTGAAGGAGGCCACCAGTGGAAGCCGAAAGGCAATGGGCTCCAATGTGGCCAATGTCAACGTCGGATTCACCAGCGCATGCCGTTGCAACAGCTGCGGCAAGCAAAGGAGGAGACATGTGAGCTTGCCCACAGTCTGCCAGTCAAAGGGGGCACCCCACCAGAGGAATCGAAGCAGGCTTTCATCCAGCGGCTCATCGATCATCCAGAGCCACAAGGCCATCAACTTCAGAACCAGACCAACTACCTGGTTTGCAGCAAGTGTGGCATGCGCACCTTGAGAAACTCCTCAAGGGAGAAGATCGAGCAGCTCTACAGCAGCCAGTTGGAGCGGAAAGTGGGAGGCTCCCCCTCAATGGACTGGGCACCCCACCCATGTGCTTCATCGACGCGGTCACAAGGTGTGGTGCGAGATTTGCAAAGCAAATGCAATCCCAGTCGGTGAGAGATGGAAAGCGAGCAAACAGCTCACAAAGGTATGTGGAAAGGTTGAAGAGCGCAGACAACTTCCATATATATATGTATACACATTACTGTACAATATCTTACAATACTGCCATGCAAGTGTAAGGATGTAGTGAGAGGAGGCACCGAAAGGATCAATTCGGAATTGTGGTCACTTTGGTCCAGCATTTGAAAAAAGATGTGCAGACATGGCAGTATATCACTGTACGCAGCTGTGTAACATGGAAGAGAGTGACGCATGTTGTCTGGGCCAGATGCTTGCACCGATGCTTGCGGCGGCCGCGAGAAGGGGTTCACATTCGCCAGAAAAATTCGACGCAGTGGTATATAACGTATATAGATCATCCAGCCACGGGCTGTGGCAGCCAAATGCAGCCAACATCTATAATATATAATTTTTTGACAAGAGGGTCTGGAACGTCACCGGAGGCTCCAAAATTTGCACCCTTGAAAGTTTCGTGTCGATCCAATGGCGGCCCGAGGTTTTTGACTGATCAGTTGGGAAAGATCGTGAGGGCCATGCAGCCTGGTCGACCTGCGGAACCAATTTCGAAGAAGGCGCAGAAGTGACTTGGAGTGTGTTAGATGGAGTTGTTTGTTGGAGATTTTGGGCGTGATTGAAGTTCTTCTTTGGAGTGTGCCTTACAATAGACACCTATTGAGAGAATTTGTGATTTGACCCCTCGGACTTTTTCGGGGCTTGTGTATCCGTTGTTAAAGGAAAATGAAGTCCTGGGGCAGACTGAATGTGGGAGTTGCAGATTGAGGCAGGTTGGCAATTGAATCGTTACTGTATATAGTTGCACATGAACTGCCCACAGAAACAGGGGTATAGTATTTGCAGCTCGTGATCAGGGCTGCCCAAAACAATGATATGTTGTCTTATTGAGATAATGGTGTGCCATGATGGTCATGTCATTTCCCAAGACCTGGGCCTGTCTAAAGCGAAATCTTCTGCCACCCCATTGTAAAACGGCACATGTTGTGCTCCCCATACCTGTCTGAGGCTGGCGGAGAGGTCGCATGAGCGTTATCGATCTCCAATTCCTCGTTCCCCATCGATGGAGCAAAAGTTGGAGCGCAGCCCTCTTCGGCGGTTGTCACCCGATGGGCCGCAATCGGAGCGTCTGGCAAAGCAGAAACTGGCGCAGACGGAGATTGTGAGAAAACTGTTGGCTCATGAGTTCCTGGGTTCAAGAATAGCCCTAAGTTTCAAAAACGAGGTCATCGGTGGAGATTCCTGGTAGAGTTTTGTTGATGGAAAGAGAAGTGGCGACTATTTTTGTTTGAAGATTGTTTGTTTGCAGCAAATAAGCCCAATGAGGGGTTCTACCTTGTTGGTACCCACACTGCCTATTTTCAGTTGTCACATAGAACACGCACGATACGGAGATTCACAAAAGAGCACAAAAGGCCTGACAAGAGGAAGAATCAACGAATAGATAATTCATGACAGCACAGTACATTGGGTCTGTCCTATTACATGTAACAGTCGGTAAACAATGATCACTATTTCAGAAAGGCCTTTACCAACCATCATCATCCACTGCTACTGGTAATAGGATAGACCCAAAGAATACAATGCACCATAGTATAAAGTGTAATAATCATGTTGCATACTTGATCATATATATATAATTGTATGTTTGTTTGGAGATTTGGTATGCAGGCATTTCTTGCTAGACCAAGAGGCACGAACAGTTGTCCTCCAATTTAGACTCAGCGGTGGCATCTAATCGACGGTTTGATGGTACACTTGCATACACTTGCTAAGAGTTGGAAGGTTTTTTGGACTGGCCAGAGCAGTCAAGGCTAAGACAAGAGGAGCCATCGAAGTCACGTGGCACTGTTGCACGATCATTGCCCGGCGCAGAGGTCTCTCAGAGGAGATGGGTGGGAGGGGGCTGCGTGAAACATTGTGAAATAAACGATTTCCTGGACAGCTCAGAGGATATGTTTGGACATAGCGTATCTGAGCACCTTGTAGTCATCAGGGTAACATTGAGTCTATGCTCACGGGGTGCAGGAGAATTTTAAGGCTGGGATGCCTCAATCGTGATGTGCCCAATGCCAAAACATGAGCTGGAACCTTCGATGCCAGGCACAAATCCCGTCTGCGCAGATGACCTTATGAAGACCGCGCCGCTGTTAGGTGCCACTCGGACTCGGCAGTGGAAGGAGGGAAAAAGGGTGCTTGACCACTTGGAGTTTGCTCACCTACCTTTACTGAGCTCTCAACACACTGATGTGTAATTACCACTTGAAAGACAGAATAAAGACAGAGACCACCACAGGCCTTGTTGGAAAAAAGGCTCCCGCAAGGACTCCTTGGGTGTGTGCTTGGAACAGACTCGCCTTCAGCAACTCACGCCATAGCGATGATCAGAGAGCTCCTTTTTCTTCGTCACTCTTTGTCAATCGAACAGAGGGGGAAACAGTCATTTCAGAGACTAGAGGTAGGTAGTAGCTATGTTTCTCAAAGAGAGGTTACAGTATATAGGTTGTGTGAAAATCGTCCATGTGTAATAAGGTGCTTGGACATCCAGAATTTGCCAGCAATGGGGAGACTTCACCATTGTGGTTCTCCCATCTCCAATCTGCCCTGAGGTCCAATTTCAGCAGATGGTTGAGGAGATGTACAGTTGCTAGAAAATCGGACTGCCTCAAAAGGAAGCTGTCGAGTCAGGAGAAGCAGTTCAGCTGAGCTTAAGAATAGATTGAATAGATCAGAATTCAGCTCGGAGTGGATCTACTCAGACAGAGGACGACTCCTCACAAATTGGCTTCTTCCGAATGTAAACTGTTTGGTCTTTTGGTTGCCAAGGTAAGACGTGTGGATGGTGGCTCTGACAAGCAAAACTTGGATGCTTGTGTCAGTGGTTGTTGGTCCGGTTGGTTCGACCACAGGCCTATGCGCATGATCACACTCAATTGATAATTTTTAACTCGTGCCTTTTTGCGCTTCATGGCCTCCGGGCTGCTTCTGCTAACTAATGTCCAGGGTGAGGTGTTTATTTTTATCCTCGGCGAAGGGTCGAGGAGAGGCTCGAGGGCACATGGCCACCAAGGCTTGCTCAATCACACCATCACGAGGGCGTGATGGCGAAGAAACTTCCTATTCACAGTGGAAGGTTGAGTGGAGTTTGAACGTTTAAACTTTAATCTTTTGGGGTGCATTTCTCATGCATTGGAGCATGCTTTGATCTTAAGTGTGTCTCGTTAGAGCTGGAGAATTCCGATGGACCACAGACCGGGGCAAGCACGGCATTTTTCTAGCGGCCAACTTCCACTTCCAATCTTGTACATGTATAGGGGTACGCTTGTGAGAGTTGCCGGAAAGGACACAACGGGGCAAATACAGGGCCACAAGTAGGGCCACAAATACACAGTTGTTCCATTTTGTTCCCTCATGTTGCTTGTTCCTCTTCAATACCAGCGTGGAAGAGCATGAATAGCAATTTCTAGTTGCTCATGTTCTGAACCAGCGTCCCCTTGTTATAGCCCAGCAGAACAGGTTTCACTTTAGAACTCCCCAACGCATGTTGAAGGAATCTGCAACCTGAAATGGACATGTTTTGGCCCTCAAGGATGACCAATCTGTCAACTACGGCTTCCCAGAGCTCAGTCGTGAGGAGCTTGGCGGCGATGTGCCACCGATCTTCTTTCCAGACTGCCGAAGGCAGTCTGGAAAACGCCTTTTCGACCCCAAACCTCCGACCGCCACAAACCTGGGAGAAAAGCTGCAACTCGCTTGTTGGACAAAACGAAAGCGCTGCGGAGTCCGACACATCCCGCGGTCGCAAGTAGAGCATGGTGACGTGACACACCCGCGTCAGCAATGCCCATCCTACTCTGAAAGCACGTGTTGTTTGATTGGTAGAGTCGATGGGAGCATGTTAATTTGGTCCTGCATTCTTCCATCACGCGACATCAGGTGTAGGCCAAGGTGGCTAGAGTACATATATATATATGTGTATTCAGTCATATTACTAATGATTGATCGAGATCACTGCATAAAACTGGTCAATGTTACCCACGTCCTGAGCATGCTGGCGCTTTCTTTCAGTGGTGTTGCACTGGCAGCAAGAGCCGGTGATATACAGTCGACTTAGCTGTGGCCTCAGAACTAGCTTGTTGTTTGCAGTTCTGTGGGATGTACGTGGACGTGGATAAGTGCCACTCAATTATGAGCAAGTCTATTTGGAGCAGTTTCCTTCTGTGCGAAAGGTAACCTGGCAGGGTCAAAACCTTCAAGGATTATTCTCACTTCCCAGTTGCTTCTTGTGCGCCTTACTGCAAGGTATGGGATTGTGGGTGCCCAGCTTTTACTCACAGCTTTGGTGGCGTATCCAGTGGCCTCCATGGGCCATCAGGAGGGGTGGTTGTGTCGGACATGTTGTCAAGGCCGTGGAAGTTTGAAGTCTCTGACACACCCGAAGGCGTCCAAACTCTTCAGCTCATCCGTTCGCTCAGCAAAAAACAGGTCGAGCTCTCGATCTTTAGGCCTACCACCTATAGGACCTAATTCCAAGAAAGCATCTTCAACCTGTGAGGGTGAGCTGTTGTAACTACGAGTGTAGGGTTGTGTGAAAGGACACTGTCCATTTGCCTGGCTCTTGCTCAGAAGTGAATGACAGAAGTACACGACCATACGGAACCTTTAGGGGAAATGTGCAAGGCGTAAGAAGCCCGAAGCCGCCCAAGCCCCGTTTGCCAGGAGGCAACGAGGAACAATGGGTGGATCCAAGTGGTGTTGGGAACCCAGGATATCCAAATTGTTGCAAATCTTTGAATTACAACTTCTGGCGGTTTACTTCAGTTTTTGCTGGAGCTGCATGTCCCTTGTGCCCCAGAAGTCACTCCGGCATTCAGTGCAGCCGATTTGGCCGATTTGCAGGTGCTTCATCCTATGTTTGGGGAACATCCTTGCGCTGATCTGCCACTCCAACCAACTCCCTCACGGGTACGGGGGATGGTTGGGCGAGGTAACGTTAAAGTGGGCGGGATTCTCTTTTCTTTTTTGGGTGGGGGAGTGGTGGGGGGAAGTCTTTTTACTGTTAAATCAAGCGGCCCAGGTGGCCGCTGGCACACCGGGCGACTTGTCAGGGTTTTTCTGAAAGAAGCTGATAGTTGCTTTTGCATGACAAACCAACCCAGGAGAGAAGGAGCTGCTTCACCTCTCAGATGTGCAGGAAGAGTCTGATTGAGGAAGTAACTACATGTCACCAATCTTCCAGAATTATGTAATTTCTCTACCCTTCAATGTCAAGAGGCGAACATGTTGGTTTCAGCTGCTTGAGGTTCATCTAAAGGCTTCACACGGTTTCCGGCACTAACACGGGATGCTGGAGTCCTGCTAGTCGGACATGAGGCTGTCTCGAGACTACTCGGAAATATCCCTTGAGCCTCGGACGCAAAACTCCAATCAGCCTCGCCGTGTTGTCATACTTGTTAGATTGGCGAGTCTTCATGCCCCCGAGCTTAGGAGAATTGATTTGTGAGAATTTTGAGCTTTTGATTTGCTATTACTACGTATTACTTGGTTATGATGTGATGGACAGTCTTGAGGCTGGTTGAAGATGCTTGTTCTGTGTATGAGTGGATGGTGTAGGTGTCCTGGAATTGTCATCCATCCACCTACCTTACTGCATCTTACTGCAATATCCAATTTATGACATAGTCTTCAAGATGTATGTTTTCTCCCAACAGTGTGGTCTCACTAGGGGTTCTTACAGCAATGGTTAACGCCGGGTGTTTGATCGGAGGTGCGCGCATCCATGTCTGGCTAATTCGCTGCTATTTACGGTACATTCATTCACCTCGAGACCTTCGAAGTGCTTTCGACTGCGCAGGCTCGCAGAAGTTGGTGTGCTGGCATGGGTGCATGCTTCGACTGCGCTCTTGCTGCGCATTTTCGGACTTGGTGGTCACTTTTAGTGGCAGACGCAATGGACACCTCGTGCTTTGGCGGTCCAAAGTCGACTTTTCGTGGCAGGTGCAGGGGCGGCTTACTTCGATGTGCAAACTTTGTGCTAGGTGCAGTACTTTGGACACGGCAGTGGTCCTCGGCGCGCTCTGCTCTCGTGGCAGGTGCAATGAGTCGTGACCTTTGGACTGGCTCGCTTTCAGAAGCCGAGCACTTTGTGAACCTTGAAGTGGCAGCCGCAGTACTTTGTGGACCTTGAAGCGCAGATTTTGTGGCAGCCGGCTTGTGAGTCAAGACCAACTCTCTAACCTCTAGATCTCTAGACCTCTAAAGCTTTTTGGACCTCAAGACCCGCCTGGATGTCCAGGTGTTGAGGATTTTTCCTCTAGACCTTCTGCTTCTACACCTCTGGACTGTAGACCTCTAGAAACTGCTTGGGGTCTCTTGCCGAGATAATGCCTGAATCTTGGGCATGTTATAGGCAGCTAATTACATCCAATTACAAAGCGTCTTTGACAAAGTTCTGCGATGTTGCGAGGCACTTGATGGTCTCTGACGTGCGCCTGTCTGTTCACCCTTTTTTTTGCGTTTGCTCCCACACCTGGCATTTTATCGACATTTTTTAGATATATTTTCTATGGTGAACCCATCATGGGCATTTTATAGGCCTGCTGTGTTTTCAAAGTTTAGTGTTGAATGTTCAGAATCCACTTACCCCATTTTATAGTTTGGATGTTTTTTGTTCAGCTTGGCATTTTGTAGGAAATCCACCCTGTCCAGGCATTTTATAAGGCCCAAAATTTATAAAATGCATCTAAAAGCATCCAACCTAACAATGAAGGGGAATAGTTTTATTAGATTAGCTAAATATGGTCGTTTTCAGGCTGATAGATGAGATGATTAGATATGTCCAACACAACAGTATAGGACAGAAGAACAGACACGAAACATTCAGATCGACATGTCGTCCCGTTGGAAAACAGTTCTCGCAAAAACGCGACCATGTTCTCGTCCTTCCACAGCTGAGGAACTATGCCATTCTCTTCGGCCTCACCCTGGGAAATGGCGGACTGGTGGGCCTGGCCTGTCAGCTCTATACTGACACTCGGCGAACCAGAACAGTTTTTGCAACGCATCTTTGTTTTGGGAAGTGGCCAAGCCACATGCACGGGATGTAACGACAAAGTCCCTTCGTCGGAGGAAGTCGGTGAGAAGGATTTTCATCAAAATAAAGCGTGTGTCAGTGTGTTTCCCTAATGGATGAAGTGCACTGGTTGGTGGTAACAATTGTCAAGAAGGTCTTGTGAACCAACTGCCTTGGGTGTGTATGATTGGTGATGAATGGTGATCCGATTGCGTGACTGCATGACCCATCTCGCCTGAGGCGCCATCAATCATCTTGGCTGTGTCTTTGACTGCCGCATCTTGTCCGAACTACTGGCTGCCGGCTGCCAGCTTGGTGGTTTTCAATGTTCTCATTCGGCTTAGCGTCCAGGATCTTTGGTTTAGCATCTTCAAGCAATTCCATGTTCCTCGTGAGCCGCGTGTCTCGTTCATCTTGCAACCGAGGGAACCAATGTCGATTGTCCAAAGGGTTCCGCAAGGATGATCTTCCGTGAGTAGCCAGTTGAGTGGACAGAAGCAACCGTTTAGGTGAACCAAACCGAATACACGTGGCGAAGTTGGTTTATGTGGTAACTTGTGGCTGCGCGAACTTGAATACCGTGGTGTCATGAGCAGCTTCAAACACTCATGAGATTTGATGCTTTAATAAGACTTGCGAAAGACCCACAAAAGGCTTTGAGAACAGCATCCGCTGCGAATTGCAGGTACAATGACAATAACACGAGGCAATATGATGCGTTGGCATTGACTCAAAAAGAAAAGCACTGCGGCACAGCCCCTAAAGATCATATTGTATTGCATTGTAGTAGCCGCCGCGGCCCAAAACCGGTAGGCTTAGGGATACGGCTCCCAGCGGCCACTGGCCACCTCCACGGTGGGGGTGGTGTCGACTAGGTTGCTGCAAACAGCAGCCAGCCAGCCTGGTCTGTGTTTTCACCTGTACCTGTGGAGTTTTGGTGTGTAGTTGGTGCTGTAGGTTTTGCCATGGCTGTGCTCCACGCTTTGGATTTGGCCGACCAGATCCTTCAAGACCCTCTCCGATCTCGCCTCCGCGGCCTTTTCAGTGATCTGCAGTCCCCTACTTGCTTTCCGAAGTTTGGGGACGTACATTGCTGTGTTGGTGATGTTCTTGCAGTTGGACAACATTGGATTGATGCAGCGTTGCTCCAGTTCCAACCGGGTGAAGGCTTCGTGTCACTTGGAGACGCTGAGTGTCAGGTGAGGCTACACGTCCAGGACGTGGCTGCACGGTCGATTCATCTCGCCAAGGGCGTACAGATTATTTGCACCGGATCCTTACGCCGCACTGAGGACATGAAGGAGGCTTGGTTTGACCATGCTGCACTCTGCTTCCGGCCAGAGCTAGTGACAGAGATGCCCTGGTCTGCCTTGCATTTGTATGCTGGATCATTTGCGGGATGGAGCCGGGCACTTGGATGGCTGAGCAAGACGCAACCCTTTATCCTCAAGAGCCAAGGGCTGGCAGTTAGTTGATCATTTCTGTGAAACATGGAGCCCGCGTTTTGAAGGCGCCCATTTCCTACAGAACTGCTTGGACCCCAGCAGAATTTGTTGGCATTTGCGGAGGGGTTGAGGACCATTCCATTCTGAATATGCTGCGCGCGCAGTCGAATTTGGTTCTGACTATGAGTCCACCGTGCCAAAGCTGGAGTCGTGGTGGAAAGAGTGCAGGGCTGTACGACACCAATGGCTACTCGTTTGTTGATGCCTTGTGTACAGTTGCTGCATGTCAGCCAAATTTAATCGCGGCTGAGTGTGCTGATGAGCTGGTGAACCACCCTCATTGGCCTCTGCTGAAAGCCTTGGCGAATTGCTTGGGCTTTCGGCTTGTTTGGTCGCAAGTCACCCCGCTCCATTCGATCGTTGGGCACTACCGAACTCGCTGGCTCGGTGTCTGGGTTCGAGCAGACTACAAATGTCAGGACTTTGCCTTCGCACTCAAGCCATCAGTTGTCCCACGTGTCCCCGGGGATCATCAAGAACATGAAATGAGAACCCCCAAAGTGTGGGCTGACCAGCTTCGACTCAGTTCGTCCGAATGTGAATTTTACAATCGGGATGATTTGCTCCCCCATGCGAAACGAGCAAAGGTTGTCAAACCGGGTCCACCGCATGAGAACAAAGGGCTCTGGTCCAGGGTTTTTAATTCTTCAGACTTCATGCCCACCCTGCGCGCCTCGTATTCGCGCCAACACCTGCTCCATGAGGGTCATTTGCAAAACAAGGGCATTTTCGCTGTCCTCCAACATGCCTCCGATGGATTTCGTTTCTTTCCTCCAGGGCTTTTCGTTTCCATGTTTGGAGCTGTTGAAAGCTTGGTATTTCCCTCAAAGATTCATGCCACCTTCCAAGTGCTGGGCAATGCGATCTCTGTCCCTCAGAGTATCCTGGCTCTCGCTGTTGGGTTTCTGTCGATCACGGGGGAACCCATTGATCCTTTGAAGATCCTGCGCCAAGCTTGGGCTGACCGCCTCACCGCTTGGAACTCTGTTGCATTCCATCATGGAGACTTTGTGCATATCATCCCACGGAACGATATTAACCAGCGGATCTCTCCTGTCTTGCCGCAGGTATGCCATTCGGAGCACGTCATTTGCCAAGGTGTCATTGGGGGTGTTGAGTTTGAACAGCAGGTTCCGAGCTATGTCAAGGGATTTGAGCTTTTCCATGTCCTTTTGAAGGGGCCACGGGATCTCATTTCGCAATGCCAGCTTGTCAATCATGATGTCAAGAGTCATAACCGTCAGTCCATTGCTGCCTTAGCCTGTCAACATGTAGATTGGCAAATCTATGTCCACATGTGCCCTGTTGGCCAGTGCCACATCACCCTCGGGACTGCAAAGTCTGCCAACACTGCTGAGGTCATCGAGATATCACCGACTCTGCCATTCGAGCCTTGCCGGGATGAGAGCAAGATTGGTATGCACGATCCACTCTGGGATCACTTTGTTTGCAGCAACCTTTTCCAAGCGGTGCAGCCCATCATCGAAACACTGCAAGATGATGCGGTTGCACGTACACAGGAGGTTATTGTGGTCAATCAGAGTGGAAGTTCTCCCATTGCGGTTCAGTGCACAGATTCTGACCAACAGCGCTGTATTCAGAAAGTCCGAGACATCTTTTCACGCAAGACAAGTACTTTTGCCCATGGTTGTGGTGCTCTCATTGCAATCCTCGACAATCCCGTGCCTGCTGGACACATCTCAGTTGTGACACTTCAGCAAGATCATATCTCTGAGACCGCCAAGACTTTCGAGGTGCCATCGATGACAGACAGCTCACAGGAGCTTTTGCTGGATGGAATTCCGTCTGTGATTCAGCAGATCAACGGGCAGCATGTCAAACACTGCACCATGCTGGCCCATGGAGATATCCTGTGTTGCATCGCAAAAAGTGCTGTTGTTGCGGGTGGCCACCATCAATTCGTTGGGCGACCACGAATTCTTCGGGAAGGCTCGGACTTTGAAGCCAGGATTGAGTTCGTGACCAACACGCACGGCTGGGCGGCATCTGACGAAATCTATGCCCACACTCAAACTCTGATGTGGATGGGAGCTGGCATCAGAGCCTCTCCGCCGGTCATGTGGGACATCACCAAGGATCACTTCGATGATGCTTATTTTGGTGACCCTGTTATTTATAACAATGCGGTTACCTTGTTGCCTATCCTTGTGAGGTCCCACTGGGGAGCTGCTGAGATCACCAAACAAGGAGAGAATACCGACGTGACCTTGGTGCAGATCCACTCAGATTTTCACCAGCAGATTATCGCCATTTTGGCTCGGCTGATGGACATTGACCCAGCTCGGATCAATTTACATGCCACTCCGGAGCACTATCAGCCTCACTTGTGCGGATGGAACCTCCTCATGCGCTGGTTCTCACGAGGTGGGCATCACAATCAGTTGGATGATGTTGCAGCTCACTATCATCTTCCTCAACACCTGTTTGATGCTGTGTGTGTGGCTTTGCAGTGTTCCATCGAGGACTGGCGTACTGCCGGTACCACCAGGGAGGTTGAGTTGTTTGCCCACACTTGCAGTGAATCATGCGCAAGGCAGACCTCCTCAACAACCGATGCTACAAGTCTGCCATCCGAATCGGAACAACACTCCGACAGCACTCACACCCACGACTGGGCCGACTTCTCAGGAGCAGAACTGACTTGATCGGGTGCAGCAAAGGTTGGACCACTTCAGAGAATTCAATGGCTGGCTTGCAACAGATGAGATGGACTACACACTCGAGGGCCCGCGTTTGCTCTCGCTCTCCACCTTGTTTTGTGCACCGGCAGTTTGGTCCATCCAACAGGGACAGTTGAATTTCCTCAACGGCCTTGAGCCAGAGTATGCCACGTTCGGGCACGTCATTTGGCCTATTGTGGTGAACAACCACTGGATCATGGTGGAATCCTTCCAATCTGGTGATGATACGCATTTCAGTGCCACGGTTCCGCCCAGTATGAGGGAGCAGCTTCGAGCACTCTTCGATCATTTGGTGCATGTCACTGAAACTGACCGTACACGATTGCAGTTTGTATTTGTGGACCAGGTGTGCCCGCCACATATGTGCGGACATCACATTCTGCAACAGCTGTTCAACAGGGTCGATGCCGGTCAGATCTCCCTCAGTGAGATTCAGCGACAGCGTTTGGCTACTTCGCACTGGGCTCCATCGATTGCTCTTGTACAGGACGAAGCACAAGCTGTATGGGAGCACTTTGCCTCTGCTACGAGAGACTGGTACCTGTTGCGAATCATTGAAAACAGATTTCCTGGTGAGTTCATTGCTGCCGGGGCTCAGGATGATGATACTCCGATGCTTGATGAATCCGGCCGGAAAGCTACAGCATCAGCTGCTCCAAGTGCCCCGAAGAGCGCAGTGCCATCGCCCAAAGATGCGGCCTCCTGGGGCCCGTGGAAATCCAAGCCTCCACGTCCACAACAAGCCAAATGGGAAGATTTGCAGATTCGGCCTCCGCTGCCCTTCATTGGCTCTGATGGTAATGCCCTTTCTCAAACCCATCGGCTACAGCTCACACCCACCAGGGGTGGTGTTGTGTTCACCACAAAAAGCAACATTGGTGATGTCATCAAGGCAAATGTGCAGGGCGATCTCGTCGCCATCCTGCCTGCAGGAGACCGTGCGGTATTGAAACACATTGCTGAGAAGATGGAGGGACCCTTCGAGCTCACTGTTGAAGACCTGCAAGCCAAATTGCCCTACAAAAGGGTCATCAATATGCTGGTCATCAAAGGCAGTGTGACTTTTAAG